TTTTCTCTGTTTTTGTACAATATTGTTTCCTCTGACAGCAGCGCAGCTCCAGGTGAGGACGTGTTTCTGGTGAATCCAGTCAGAGCTTCCTGTCAGTCTGCAGCCTGCAGTGGGCGAGCGCTTAATTACTGGTTTTAATCTGAAGCTGTGTGAACAAAGAAATAAGTAAAGAAGAGCATTTGACTGTTACCTGCTGCAGACACGTCTATTTTTTGAGCTCCAGCTGTTTCCCCCTTTTTGAGCACCTCCATTCTACCCCGCATTGACCCGGGGAGGTTTTGTGTGTCTTAATTTCCCCCCGGAGCGAAGGGACACCCAAGATCAGGAACTGCTATTGATCTGCCAGGCAGCCAATTTGTTGTCAGAAGAACTTGGCTTGTTCATTATCAGTTTCCCTGGTGAAGAAAAACACGAGGAGGCTTTCATTTCATTTGGATGCCCTTGTGAAGTAAAAGGGGTGGCGGAGAGAAAGAATGAGTTAGACAGAAAGAAGGAGGGAGAGAGAGAGAGCAGATTGCCAGTGAGAGGCTCTGAGTGGGAGGCAGCATAAGCTGGTTTGAGGAAAATTTAACAACAGAGGACAGGAGGCTGAGGCAGTGTCTCCTCTGTGCTTATGTGACCTGCCATTAACCTGAGTGTACTTGAAGCCTGGCAGAGAAAGCAGAGCTGCTGTCTGATGCGTCCTTCAGCAATGGCTGCCTGCTGTGCACGTTGGCATAATTAAATTGAACAGAGTGAAGTTAAATGTGACAAAACCCTGACTCATTCATCGACGTGAGCGAGGCTTCTTCTCGCTCAGGAAAACAGGGGAAACATGCCGGAGTGGGTTTGAACAGCAGAGCTCCGATATGGCTTTAATTTAATAAAGTTTTAATAACGGAGTTTAAAGGGTGAACTCTCTTCCCTTTACGGTGAGATCAAATGTATTATTTTTCAGTCAGACAGACCCAGATGTACAGTACATAAGAGAACAGGGCCGTGTCCGTCCTAAGATCTGATGTAAGACCGGTTCCTGGAATCGCTGCACGAAGGAGTCGACTCATCTATAGGTGATATCATAATGACCTCTATATGACTTCATCTTCTGGAAACTTCTGGTCTGGTGTGTAGCTGCAGAGCATTTGCTATTAATTAGCTGAATTTGTTTATCGCAGCAGGGGTGGGGGTGGGTTGAGATCGATGCCTGTAGATCCGCACTAACCTCTGCATGTGGGATTTTTTGTTCCTCCAGAGCGTCCGGTGAACGCAGACCAGCAGGAGCGGACCTTGTTGAAAGGCGTGTTCAGCGTCAGGAAGGGCAAGACGCAGCTGCACAAGTGGGCCGAGCGGCAGGTCATCCTCTGCGGCACCTGTTTAATCGTGGCCTCCGTCAAAGACAGCCTGACCGGGAAGATGCACATCCTGCCGCTGGTGGGGGGGAAGGTGAGAGTTCAGCGTCGGGGAGGTCAGAAAGGGCGTTAACCTTCCAGCGTCTCCGGGGCGGAGGCCGAGCTCCGGGCCGAGCGGAGATACCCTGCAACAACACAGCTGGGATGAACGGCTGGATGAAGTCCAAAAGATGACGCATGACTGCACACGCAGAATTGTGACATCGAAAGTGTTGTAGCTGTCAAAGTCAGCTTTGTGTTGTGATGAAAACCTGCAAACACTGGCCTGAGCAAAGAGATGTAGGTCAATGTTAGACGCATCCGAACACTACAAGTTTAACATTAAAACCAATCAGAGGGTCAGAAGTTTAAAAAAACAAACCTCACACTCTTCAGTTCTGCTTGAGGCTTTCATGTAACACCCCCTAATATCTGGCTGAACTGTGTTGCATTGTGGGTAACGTAGGCGGCAGGTTTTGACGAGGAAAAGCATGTGTGGAATAACTTATGCTGCATTAGTTTGAATCTTACTTCTTAAATGTGGGATCGCTGAAGTAGAGGAGAGTCAGACAATCACAAAACATGTACTCAACAGACATATATATCTGGGTAAGAAATGTTAATTACTCTTTTTGTCTTCTTCTTCTGAGGTGGAGGAGGTGAAGCGGAGGCAACACTGTCTGATGTTCAGCTCGGCTGGATCACAGGCCCAGACCTACTTTGTCAACTTCGACACACTTGCGGACTACCAGCGGTGGCATCGGCAGGCATCCAAAGTAAGCGTGTGTCATTTTGCACAACATGTGTTTCCCATGTTTGCAGTTTCTTTTTTCCCCCACTTGGTCCCTCTGGGCTTGTCCTTAAATTGGAGATTCAGGTTCTTTTGGGCCTTTTATCTTGAAACTCACCGTGGATTAGACGACGCTAAACGACCCAAACGTACAGTATCTCCGTATTCATGCCAGTCGCGAACAGCTGTTCTTCAAAAACTTCATTGTTTCTGTTCTGCTCAGCTCGCTTTGTCTCTAATATCCTAATTAATGGCTGTTGTGCCGCAGCTCCTTCCTGGAGCTGAACAGCCTCTGTGAGAGCCTCCACTGAGGCAGAGCCAGCATACAATTAGCCATGGAAGGAGAAAGCCAACAGGAAAAAAAGAAAATCCAATTAGTTGCAGATTCATGCTAAGTCCAGGATCTCTCTCTAGCACGGTGGTTTGGATTACTGGGTTAGAGTAGCCTGTTAGCACACTCTGTTTAGACTGAGGCTTGGACTGGAGGTTTCTATGGAGACCGTGGACGGTGACTGATGATGGTTTTTGGTGGATTTGGGCCAGTGTTTATGCTACACTGCATAAATTGCAAGTTTGTGCGCTCGCGTGTGTGTGTGTGTGTGTGTGTGTGTGTGTGTGTGTGTGTTTGAGGGAGTCAGCAAGTGCCTTTGTACTTGCAAAGTGAGCATGCAGGATAAGAATAAACAGCGGAGTGCAGGGACACACTACAGAGCACAAAATCAACATTTGTATTTGTAGGAACTCAGAAACATCTCGTAGATCCATTCTAGCAATCGGTACAGCTTGCTACAAATAAGAGGAAATGTACGTTTTAATATGTTACCCGAGAAAAAGCGATGCTGCTGAGGAACAACTCACGACAGCAAAAATGTCATTTATGTTCTAGTGTGATGTTGAAATAAAAACAGCTTCAATGGAAAATTAATTACAGTCTAATTTTGCTTTTGCTGACACTGGCTATTAATTAAGTGAAGACGCGGCTACAGTATCTCCTGCCAGAGAGAAACGTATGTGATTTGTTGTGTTTTTTAACGTGCAAATGATTAATCCTGACTACATGGCAGCAAAAATGTAATTAATTTTCCCCGAATGGCACTCGATATTCAGTCTCTGTCACTCTGGAGTAAGGAAACCCTGCTCAGCGTCTAAGAAAGTCTGTGGCATCGTCACCATTCTTCAGAAGTGAGGATTAGCAGTTTACTAGTTATAGCTGGTTAACCACTCTGCAGATTGCTCGGCTCTGAAGGAAATCATCCGACTTGTTGATCAGGGACTGAGACTAAATTTCTTCAGCGTCACAAAGCGAATCATCCAAAACAGCGAATCCGTCCTATTTTCTCCGTCCAGACTCCCACATCACTTATTTACTCTCTTTGTGGAGCAGTTGCTTCTTTAATGCGGCCGGCAGACGAGTTGCTTTGTGTGGAGATGAGAAGTTTTTGTCTTTGCCGTCTCTGAACGCGGTGACGTGATGTCATGCTCTGCTGAGCAGCCGTCCCATTTTCTGGGCTGGTGCACAGTGTGCAGCCCTGCAGTTAATGGAGGAGACGGCCCTCAGACTAGACTAGACGAGCGCTGCTGGGCCGCCTGCACTGATGACTCGCCTGTAAACAATCATCTCGGAGACGATGGAGGTCAGCGCAGATGCAATATTGAGAGAGAGAGAGAGAGAAAAAAGTGGAACAAATTCTCAGCAGGCCGAGATTTGAACTATGTTATAGCAAGTAAAAAAAAAAACAAATCACAAATGTAGATGCAGCCGCTCTGTCCTCGACACTCTCTCATATTAGTTTTGTGGCTTGTGTGGGAAAACTGCATTACAGCTTCAAGAGAAATGAAACACTCTAATGTTCATGGTGGTTGGATTTATGTAGGTCTGCTTCAGTTTTAGATTCATCTGATAAACATGCATCTCAGTGTGAGCCTGCACTTGATCGGTA